TATTATTGGGAGGGTGCGTAAGTTCGTGCGCGTTCATTAAAATTCAATTGTTCCGGCGAAAGTCCACGTTTCCGGAGAAGTGTCATCTACCAATCGATAGCGAGTTTTCTGCTTTTTGCAAATGTTTTAGACGATCTACTGCAGTTTTGTTTCCTTTGGATTTTCAACGTGATGAAATTTTCGACGAAAAAAATTTCAAGTGTCAGGTGGACGAACAAGCGCATTTTCAACAAGTGCTACTTTTTGCATTCAGTGAGGGCTCAACGGGTCAAACCACCAGAAAACTGTGTGAAACGAAGTCAACAGAATGTTCTCATCCGTCAAATCATCAGAATCCGCGAAACCAGACGTCCACCCTAGGAAGACAATGGAAACCCTCCGGAAACGTGGACTTTCGTCGGAATAAGTGAATTTGAATAAAAGCGCACGAACTTATGCACTAACCCGTTGCAGTAACACCTCAAATTGCTAGAACATCGCAACCGAAATTTGTTTTCGAGATCAACTGAGTTCAACGACAGCCACTTTACCAACTGTATCCTCTATATGCACTTGGAATTGCGCAAAATTAGAGAACGATAACTTAAATGAGAAACAGTGAATGGAACATCCTCCTTCACAGAATCATTCGAGCTGAACAAGCACTCAAAATTGAAAGCATCTTCTATTAGTAATGCTTAAGTAAGGCAAACGCATTGGTCGTACGCACTGATTGATCAACTAATCGATCGCGATAGATCAATCAACATGGTTTATCGATTGCTGGAGAAATTATCTTCAAATTATGAGTTCCTCATGAGACGAGACCAGGAAAGCTCGCTGAATGTTGATGAAGTTCTACTTAAATAAAGAGAAATCATTCGCAAAAATGCGATGTTTATTTCAACCTTCAATCGAGTGCAGAGTGGTGCTGTAACGAGTAACATTGTCCTGCTGGAAGTAAAATTTTGTATGACAAGTAACATAATATAACGATAATTGCAAAAGAATTCCCGGAGGGTTTCAAACAAAGAAACAAAAGTTCGAAGAATATTTCAGCACGTGATTCTCAAAAATTAGTCGAAATCGACTCTCATCGGATGCCTTGCAATCGCTTATTGAACTTCCTCAGTAGAACAGTCAACATCCATGATAGAAAATTTCACTGTGAATGAAACTTTCACAGCTTACAATTTAGAGAATGTTTAAACACGAACAACAACAAGTTTCCGAGAATTTTATTGACTAATGATAATAAATCTCCTTGCAATGTATACAATGTGAAATACATTCTGTGGCACCAAAATTGAAAAATTACGCCGTATTCTGTACATTGAACACGTAATTAGCACATTAAGCTCGCTGAGCTGTTCAACACAAATTCGGCTTGAAGATCAATGAAGTTCAACGATATGCGTTCGGAGAAAGGCAAATCAGGACATGAACGTTTCTGCAGAAACTTGATCGGGAACGTTTTCAGTCGACAGCAGATGGCTTTGGAGAGTGAAAGTTGGCTCTCATGCAGGACAACTGTTTAGAGGCATTAAGGCATGAAGTTACTAAGCATTCCACCAAGTTCACCACCAATCGATGATCCAATCGAGCGAGCCATCCCCCTGAAAATCCACTTTTTAAATTCCACCTATTCGAATTCCTGAGAATATCACTTACAATTAGTATTTATTGTTAACATGAAATTGATTGTCGAATTGATTTTACTCTCTGACAACATGAAATCGATCATTAGGTGGCCCATTGAGCAGCATAGCATTAAGAGCATTTTTTGCCAATAATTCAAAATTTTGTCAATGCCTTCCGAAGAAATCATTCATCATTAATTGATCTTCACTAAGTTTAGACTGTCTTCATAGAACGATCCCATGCCCAATACCTCTGTACTGTATCAATCAAAAACTTACTGCAATCCTCCACCATCTTGCCCACCGTACCCGCCTTGCCCACCGTACCCGCCTTGCCCACCATA